TTAGCTGCAAAATCACACGGCAGCCCCTCAAAGGTGCCCAGTAGAGACTAAAAGACTACAACCAGGTAAAAGCTTCAGCAGCCGGCATACCAAGGGGTGCAGAGCTGACCCAACCTTCCTCAACCACTGGGACATCAAATGCTGAACACATATTCAGAGTCCCCAAGAGAGAGGTGGCACAGGAAGGGGCTGGCTGCAGTCAAGCAAGGTTCACCCAGCCAGGCAACTGACAAGAAGAGTGCTCTGCCCAGCAGAAAACAGACCTCCTTGCCCAAGAGACTCTATTTCTAGGGCCCTCTGAGCACAGTTACTTTACCCACAGGTCCCTATGGGCCCCAAAAGGAGCCGGGCAGGCAGCCACAGCCCAGGCTTCTATACCCCAAGCATTGGCTAGATTGAGTCCTGCTGTGTGCTGTCCATGCCTTAAGCTGGTGAGGTTGGGGAGAAGAGTAAAAAAAAAGGGACACCCAGAAATAAGCCAGTGTCCTTGGAGCAGCTGGGAAGTTGAGGCCTGCTACTCCTCCCAGTCCTGGGGGCTGACCCACCCTACATTGGCCTAAGCAAAAGATGGGACCAGGCCAGTTTCCCTCACTGCTCTTTGGCAGCCAAGATTCCAGATATGGCCCCTGGTCCCAGTCCTGGGACATGACAAAGGAGTGGTCAGGACAGGCCCTACCCCTAGTCTTTATCTCTACCCTGGAAATGATAATGAGAAAGACACAGAGACAGCAGAATCTCTCTCCAGCAGAGATTCTCTGACCTTGAACTCTCTGTGGGCCTCTCTGCCCCTGAGCACCACACACTGACCACAGGTGGTGTGAGTGTCTTGGCCTCTTGACTCTGACTTTGGGATCTGTCCTAGATGTACCAGTTGCTAATACCTATGGCAGACCCCAGGCACCTTAAGTAGATTTGTTTCCTGATTTGTTCAGGGGTAAATCTGGGCCCCTGTGACAAGGCAATGTGGGCAATATGTGCTAAAAGTTCAGGCCCTTGGGGCAGGGCAGGGGGAGCCACCAGGCCCCAGGCTGAGAGCGGAGCATGCTTCAGAGCCCCAGGCCTAAAAGATGGCTGCAGAGGCAGATCACTTACTTTCAACTGACCTCAGTCTCTTCGGCAGCATATGGGGCCTAGAAGAACCATTTTATTACCAAAAGCCAGGTCAGGACAGGACAAGAGCAGAATGCAGGTCTCCAGGAGGTGCCTGTTTAGGAGGCTTAGGACTTAGCAATTGTTACAGTCCAGTCTGCAAGCAATGTACCCTTCAGGGATCCCAGCTCCACAGCGATCACTAACAACATCAACTCACCAGGCAGCCCTTCCGTCTGCCTGTCACCCCAACTGGAAATTTCCAGGGTAAGACTGAGTATCTTCTGTCTACAATGCAACTCAAGTGTTCAGGTTCCCATTGTGAAGCAACAGAGACTTTCAGTTCTTCTAAGGAATGCATGATCCTGGGCAAATCGCTTAACCTCTCTGGGCCTGTTTCTTCATCTGTGAAATGGATCAGACTTATCCCATCAGACTATTTGGATTAAATGGAATCCTCACTTTTCCTTACTATGTGCTAGCACCTAGTAAGCTTTCAAGACACAACAGCTAAGTTAGGCTCAGCAAGAGGGAGACTGCTTAGTGTGCATGAGCCTATGGGTTCAATACCCACCATTGCAAAAGAAAAGAGGAAAAGAAATAAATAATAGCTACTGCTGTTACTACTGTAATTAAATAATTTCCCACTACTGCACTAAATAATATTATCCACCTGGTCACTTAACTCTGCATCCCCTCTCAACTATTCTAACCGATACAGATGTCCTAATTATGAAACAGGCTCTTTTTCTGATCTATTACCCAAAGGACAAGAGAGAGACATTCTACACGAAGACCAATCACATGCTGCCACTTCACACTATCCATGACACCCAGGATTCTCTGCCTCTTTGAGCAGACTCTTGGTTGAAATGTACAGGTCTGGGGGAGGCCAGGAGTGGTGGTAAGTGGCCAAGATCTCCTCTCCAATCAGAGCTGGCAGCCCTGAGCTTGTGGGGAGTATCATTAGAGGGGGACATCTGCCCCCCCCAATATCTTTTGTTTTCTTTTTGGTACCCGGGATCAAACTCAAGGCCTCACACTTGCCGGACAAGCACTTATGCCACTGAGCTAAATAAATCCCTTGCCCCCACCCCCCGCAATATCCTTGTGCTACTGCCCTCTGAATGGCCACCCTCAGCACTATACCCACCCAGAAAACACAAAGTACTGCTCTGCGTGGGGCTGTGGTGAGGGCTAAGAAGAGCTATCCAAGGATAGACATTGCTCCTGAAGGAGGGGATGAGGCTGCCTGGCTGAAGTCACACATTCTGTCATGGCTACATTTGCCGCCACCCAGGGGAAAGACCTCAGTGAGCAGCATTCACTGACAGCACCCTCCAGGCGGGGAAATCAGGCCGAAGAAGGCAAACACATGTCTGGATCCTGTGCTGACTGTACCATGACCCACAGTGGGCTTGGGTAAGTTACTTAACCTTGCTGGGCCTCAGTTTCCTTTTCTGTAGAGTGGTACCTAACCATAAGGGCCATGACAGGATTGAGTTGGTTAACACAGGAAAAGCCCTGCAATCCTCCAAGCATGTTTGCTGCCAGGAATTTGTGTCCTTCCCATAAGCCTCAACTCATCCAATGAGGTTAAGTTAAATAATGCACCAAATGTGCCGTGCCCAGCACAGGGCCCTAGAGAGCTTCCTCCTCCAGCCCCCTGCTCCCAGCACTCACCACCCAGGTTTCCTGTAGTATTCTGGCCTGAGTACTGACACTTAGGCTCACTCTCCCCATCTACGGAAGAAACTTCAGGGCCAAGTGGTGCCTCAGTGTCCCTGGCCATATCTGCCCACCCTCTCCCCAACCTGCTTCCTCCTTCCTTTCCCATTTCTCACTGATACCCTACTGCATCCCTTCCAGAAGTGACAGAACCCTTGTAAGTCTATAACTGGGGAGAGGGGATAGCTGGTGCATAAGGGGCATTAGCCCTCAAGCCATCCAGGGCCCAGTCCAGGATCCTAAGGGTTAAGACCCAGAGTGAGGGGCGGGGGGCCAGGGTCAGCACTGGACAGACGGGCCTGGAGCCCAGGGCCTGCTTCCCCTCCTCCTCCCCTGGGAACAGAGGCCACTTGTTTGGGCATTGGCGGTTGGCTTTGAGCTCAGCCAAGGAGAGTGGGGTGGGAAGGGGAGAGGCCTCGGAGAATGATGGGGACTTCCTTCCCTCCAGCTGATATCATAAGCCTGGTCCACCACCCTCCTCCATACTCACCCATCTTCTGAACTGACTCTTCCCCTGAGTTCTGACTTTGCACTAACACTCACTGCTAGGGGCAAGATTCAGACTAACAAACCTGAGTCTTATCCCAGACGGTCTCTTCCGGTCATGAAGCCAGGAATTATCCCTCTGTCCTACAGATGTGGATAGGAAGGTTCTGAAAAGTATAGAGACTTGCAATCACAGATTTCTTGGCTGCAGGGAAGTCAGTCCCTCAGCTCTGCAGACCCCTCCCTGCAGAGATCCTAGGGCATATTCCTAAATTAGGCAGGAAGGAGGGGGCAATTAGCAGCCCATTTCTGAAACCTAAAGTTCCAAAGGTCCTAAAGATTTAGATGGGGAGGAAACTTCTGTAGAGTGCAGGGAGAAGGGGCAACCTCCATAAAAGAATGATTCCGAAGTATGGAGAAGCATAGCTTGGGGAGGGGGCTACCTGTCCAAATGAAGACTGGGGCAACAGCGGCCCAAGAGGCTGTGGCCAGCTCCACAGCACCAGTCATCAGTAGTGCTTCTGGGACACCTCCCTCCTGACCTACTCCAGCCAGTAAGGAGGCAGGGTTCCCAGACCAGGGTCCAGACAGCCACACACCTGAGTTCTTTGTACTCCTTTCTTCTCCACACCTCCCCCACCGCCCCGTGCAATCACACTCATCTCCTTGCCATTCCTCACACACAGCATCCTCTGCATAGCTATGCCCCTACCAGAAGGCTCCTGTGCTTAAAGGTGCCACTTAACTGCCAAGGCCCATTCCAGTCATCTCCCTGGGCCTGCACCTGCCCACACCTGTCTTCATGGCTCGGCTGGGCTCCTTCTACCCTATAATGATCTTGCTAGGAGGCCTCCATGTCTCCCTCCCACCTGTAGGAACAGGTATCATGAGTGCCTCAGTCTGGGACCCTGAGCAATCCCCAAATCTAACCCTGAAGCCTTCCTCCAACCCCACATCACCTCCATCTGGGGATCTGGGAAGGCTCGGCAGACCTGGGATCTAGGGGAGTTCATATGGCAGAAATCTACTGTGAGGCTCCTATTCACTTCCTCAGCACCAAAAACCATCCCTGGGAATCTGGAACAAAACATCCACCCGGTGGCCTCAGGCTGCACTCCAAGCCTGCTGGCTTCAGGCTCAACCAGACATTCCTAGGTTGATCCCATTCAATGAATACATCCCTCCTTTTCCCAGCAATTGGGCCAGGTAGGCTCTTGGGAAGCAATGTCCCCATTTACTGTTGAGAAATTCAGGTGCAGAGACCGGAAGTACCCTGCCCAAGTTCACCGGAGCTCCAAAGGTCCAGGGCACAGGGTCATTCTATCTGCATAAAAATAAGGGTCTCCGAGGTCAACAGGGTGGGAGTTTTCATCTCACAGTTGGGAAAACCAAGGCGTCGGAAGGCAGGCTAACTTCGGAACCTGGGAGCCTTCCTGCCGAGAAAAAAAAAGGGGGGGGGGGCTGGAAGCCGGGTGTCCGCGGCTCACGCTCCTCGGGACTGTCTCAGACCCGACAGTTCATCCTCACGAGGTGACCCCCCACCCCCACTACTAGCCAGAGAACAAGCCAGACGATCCCGGGAAGTGGGCAAAGGGTGCGGAGTCGCTGTGTGGCCTCAGCGTTCCCTTCTGCGGCATGGGGACACTGCAGGCCACACCTGGCGTGGAGGGACCGGAAAGCCCCGGCAGCGCACTGACCTGTTTTCATCGAAGACTCCTCGCGGGGACCCCGGTCCCAGAGCCGCTGCTAACTCACGCCGCCGCCAACTCGCCGCCTCGGGCCAGGCGCGCCCACCCCCCGCGGGGTGCTTCCGCCTGCCCCACGTGACGCCCGGAGGGGGGAAGGGGCAGGGAACCGGCCTGGGCCCCGCCCCTCACCCAGTCTGGGTGCTGAAGTTCGCTGGCCCGGCCTGCCTGCTGGACCGGTCGGTCTGGGAGACTCTCTAGCCTCTGTCGCTGCTTGCAAGTCCTCCTTGCTCTCCTGGGGCCCCGGTTCACACGCACACACTCACACACACACCCCGCCCGCTGAGTCTCCATCTCTCCCAGAGTCCCCAACCCTGTCCTGGTGAGTCTGTCCCCTGGAAGGTGTAAGCCACACTCATCCCACTTCATCTTCGAGAAGGACGGAGGCTCTTAAGGCTGGTCAACCATAGTTCCTGATCACCACCTCTGGGGTCCTTCCCCATCTCATTTTCCAGGTCACCCATTTCTCTCCTGGCACCCACACACCCCTGCGCACAGTGATTAAGAACAGTGCCAAGACTCCCGTTCCTGCAGTCTGCAGCTTGAGATCCCACCCAGGCACCTTCACTGGTCTTAAGAACTGGAAAGTCCCACTTCTCCTCCCAGCACGTACACATGGAACACCCAGGCTTGGCAGGCATTTCTGGGTCCTGGGACCAGGGCACCTCTGGGGTCAGCCAAGCCCAAGACCTTAACTTCTTTTTTTGTCATTTTCGTTTTTATCGGTACCAGGGATCGAACTCACGACTGCTTGCTTGCAAGGCAGGCGCTTATGCCGCTGAGCTAAATCCCCAGCCCCAAGACCTTAACTTCTGTGGGCTTGTTTTTCCTTATACACAATGATATATTTGGTAAATGAGCTCTTACCATGGAGGGCATAGAAAAGAGCAAAGTGTCATTAATTTGAGTACCTACTACATCCTAGGCCCAGTGGGGAGCAATTTATTCCTTTTATCTCAATTTCCACATTTGCTTGAAGACAAAATTATCACTCCAGGTGATGGATTTGGAAATGAGGCTCCAAGTTCTAGGACTTGTCTGATGTCCCAGAGCCAGAATCAATATTGGGCAAAGCTGGGACTGGAACCCCTCTGGGTGAATCTCCTGTCCCACCCCCATTTGGCCATCAAAATGTCTGGGAAAAACAACTCTAATCCCCATACCATTCTCTAAGGTCCCTTACCCACCCTACCCCACCTTCATCTAAGGATTGGAGGGAGTGTATATGGCAGAAATTACTGTGATGGCTCCTGATTACTTCCCCAGCACCAAAAACCACCTTTGGGGATCTAGGACAAAACATACACCCTATGGCCTCCAGGCTACACTCCAAGCCCACTGGCTTTGCGCTCAATCAGACATTCACGGGTTGATCCCATTCAGTGAACACATCCCTCCTTTATCAAGTTACTGGACCTGGTGTCTTCCACTGGCCAAGCTAAGGCCACAGCTTTTTTTTTTTTTTTTTTTTTGCCACAGCTTTCCATAAAGAGAGAACAGAGCAGACATTGGGGTAAACTTCTGGGCCCCAAATTAGCATGAGGCCAAGAACACTGCATGGAAGCAGAACACAGGAGCATCTGGACGTAGAAGAGATATCTTGAGCAGCAGAACAGCCACAGAGAACAGAGGGTCAGTCCTTTCTCTAGCTCTCAGGGCCACCAGGTAGAGCATAGGATGAGGTAGTTGGCATCTGGACAAGGTCAAGAGGATGGGTGCTTGGAGACCCCATCGTCTATTCACACAGTCCTAAGCTCTTGAAAATGACCCAGAAAGGGCAAAATCACAAAGCATAGATCCTCCACTGCACTGGAGTCGGAGGACCCTTACCTGCATCCCCGGGACTCTCTCCTCCTGGGCACATTCCCCCAACTTCAGCTCTGAGGTACACAGCCCTATAGCCTGAGGTCTATCATTCCCTCCCTTCCCTCTGTGATAACAGGAGAGCTTAAGGTGCCAAGTCCACAGGTTGGACCCAAGGAGCCTGGGGCCATATCACACTGAACCCTGCCCTCTGACCGCCACAGGAGACCTCTGCAACTTATTCCCTTAGAACAGTGGAAGGCAAAGGATCATGCAACAAGGACAGAGGTGTCCTGAATAGGGATAAGGAAACAGGATATGAAGAAGTGTGACACCCTCCCTCCCCCAAGCTATACATGAGAAAATTAGGGTTGCCTAAAGGATCAAAGGCCATTTGAGCAGTGGTGGCTTGCAGTCAGTGGTGGCTTGGGGCACGTGGAAAGCAAGCACAAGATGAACTGGCTGAGGCTGTGGGATCTTTTATTGGGGCTGTGTCCAACCAGGCCAAAGTGCTGGGAGCCAAACCCAGCATCCCCAGGAAGGTGGGTAAGGGAGGGGAGAGGGTGCAGGAGGATCCACACCCCAGGGCTCCGCTCCAGTCCTGTCTCAGTCCATGCAGCAGTACCACACTCAGGTAAGCGAGGTGTCATCGTCACTGCCCTCGCCGCCTGCACCACCCACTCGTTCCTCCCGACTCTCTGCCACCGCACTCTCATCGATGTTTTCCAGGGAGTCAGCGTGCTGCACGGACAGCTCCGACAGTGCCAGGCTGGGCAACGGGCTCTGCTCCGGGTGCAACCACGGCTTGAAGTGTGGCTGATGTTTCTGCTTCCACTCGGGATACTTGACGCACGCCTTGTACATCTTCTTCATGGCCTGCAGACAGGCCACAGCAGCTCAGGGGTGGCTGGGGAGGACCCAGGATTCTCCACACCCTCCAGCACCCTCCAGCGGTTCAGCTCCCTGCATCTCACAATTTTGTTGCACCATCCTAACTCCACCCCTGGCTGTCTCTATCCTTGACCCCCACCCCTAATCCAGAGTGCTCTCCCACAGCCTCCAGACTCCTAAAAGTCCCAAGGCCACTCACCTTGGGAGCCAGGAACTGAGAAGATTTATTCACCACCCACTTGGGTAAGGAGCCTGTGAGGGCAGGGAAGGGTGGTAAGAAGAGAAGGGACAAAGAAGCCTAGGTCCCCACCCCACCAGTAACCGCCCCTCCCTCTGCCTGGGCTTCCAGGGAGGCCACCCTCTTCCTCCATGGGAAAGGGTTAGTGTGGCAGTCCTACAGATGGGGGTGCAACTGTTCCCACTGTCCCTCTACTGAGCTCCAGGGCAGCAAGGAAGAAAACCTCAGGGTGCTAAGTAACTATAGACTACTTACAGGTTTAAGTTCTGACCAGCCAAACTCCACCTGCCTTCTCCTGCATTGCTATGCCTTCTCATCCCTAACTCCAGGGGCCACTAGACCCACCTCGATGTTCAGCCCTTCCTCCACCTGTCCTTTCAAACCCCCTCCCAGTACAGCTGAGCATCCTAGCCTGGCCTGACTCCAAATCCACAGCCCAGCCCTCCACCTTGTCTCTTTTGAAGAGTCTGCTCTGCCTCTGACACCTATCTCAGTCATCTGGCGCCTGGAGGCTGTACCAGGCCACTGTGCCAGCGGGGATTTGGGGCATAACAGGCAAAACAGCTCAAGGCTTAACCACCTTCTAGTCACTCAGTCACCCACTCACTCCACATTCATTATGATACCACCCTTGGGGACCCATTTAGGGACTCACTAGGGGTCCAGCTTTTGCCAGGTACACTACTAGAGGGGAATGGGCACCTGGGCATCAGGGTCAGAAAAAATAACACCTGAAACAGCCCCAGAGGGCTCAGTAAGGGGGAGAGCTAAGTTGAGCTGCGGGAAAGGATTGCCTGGGCATGGGTGAGAAATTTGGGGAGGAGGCTGACTGTACTCTGAGGGCAACAGAGGGTTGCAGAAGTATTTTAAGCAAAGGAGAATCACGAAGAAATAAAGAATTCCTCTAGTAGCTGGTACAGACAGACAAGGCAGCTGAGTACAGAAAAACAATCCAGTCAGGAGTTCTGTGAGAGGTAGAATCAGTAAGAATCAGGGACTGAACCTGAAGTGGGGGGGAGGGGTTGACCCCAGCTGACCCCCAGGGATTACTAAAAGGTGGATACATAGAAGGGGAAGGTCAGGAGGGATGATGGTGGGCTCAGCCTTGGACTCAAGTGAGTCGCAGGTGCCTAGAAGACATCTTGTCCAGGAGGCTGATGGCCACAGGGATCTGTGTCTCAGCAGACATATGGCCAGCAGCCACAGGAGTGGCTGAGCCCACCCAAAGGAGAGGGGACAGGTCTAGACAATGCAGTCCGCTAGGATGGAGGTCCGAAAGATACACAGAGCAGGAACAGCCAGTAAGCAGGAGCAGTTGGAGCTGGGGCACGCTGAACCTCTGCAGAGAAGCAGTGGCCTCTGCCTTGGGCCATTCCTTTCAAACCACTGCTTTGGATGGCAATGCCCAAAAGACAAAAAAGCTCCTAATAGATGACCTTCCATGCCCTTGGTAGATCAAGCCTATCCCCTGCAGTATAGGGAAGGATCTCGTGACAGGCTACCAGGGCCAAGCCCTCACCTTTGGGGTCCACCTGGGCCAGGTAGGTGATGACGCAGCTCTTGGGCCCCGTGCTCTGGATGAGGTAGCCCGTCTGGATGGACACAGCTCGGACCAAGTCTTTCCGAGGTGGGTATTTCTGGGGATGGAAGGCACAGGGAGGTAAGACTCGGGGTGGGCAAAGGAGATGACAATGTGGCACACACGCACACACGCACACACACAAACACACATATAGTTCACATCCCCTGGCATCTGTGTTACGCCAGGCCTGATGCTGTGACAAGAAAAGAGGCAAGAATCAGATCTAGTCATCCTTGCCCCTCTAAAGGTTTCCCTCTTCCCTCAGGAAAACCCCAGTCTGGGGCCAGAGCTCACAGGCTCACATGAGCACTCAATCCTTGTCCAGGCCAGCCTACTGACCTCCCTACTCAGGGAGATAAAGGCAGCCCTGCTTCAGGGAGGGCCACAGGACCTGCCACTAACCTCCTGCTTCCCCATTTCCTGGGCAGCCTCATCCTGAGCCCAGTCACCTGAAGCCAGCCATCCCACCCCTACCCCACAGATGGCCCGCACTGTCCTCCCTTGATGTGGTTAAGGGCTCCAGCAGGGAGACAGAAGCCATGATCCTTGCTGTACATGAAGAATACTGAGGGTAGAGGGCCCTGTTCCTGCCAGAAGGCAGGTCAACTCACAGGGTGTTTGACTGAGTAGTTCATAATGATGTAATCAGCGCCCATGGGGAGCCAGGAACGGAGGGTGATGACATCACGGTTCTTCAGGGGCTTGGGACACCTCCCTGCAAAGGGCAAGGGACAGTTCAGCCAGATCACTAGTCTGCCTGCCAGCAAGGGAGGGTGTGGCAGAGGCCAGAGACCTAGGGGTGCCTAGGCAGCTGTCAGCTCTGCCTGAACTGACTTGTACACCCTTCCCTGGCCCACAGCAGGAAAGAGAAAAAACAGAGCCCTTGTCCCTACCATTCTCTGGCTGTCCCTCTACTTCAGAACCTCACAAGACCCTCACTGATCTGGCCAGTTTCTATATGTGATTCTGAGTATATGTGAGAGTTTATGGCCATAAAAGCCTATCTACCTGTGAATAAGTGGCCCATGGCTGTGGGATGTGTATATGACTGTGTGCACACTTGTCTGTGTGTAGAGCGTCTTCATGAACACATGAGTGCATATGTGCTGGTGAGTATACATGTGTGTATCCAGGGGTCTACAAGACGACAGCCCTCAGTCTCAGCATCCAGGGCGCTCAAAGCCCGGCCATGGCAATCACCACAGGGAGGGAGGAAGGGGCAGAGGCTGGCGGGGAGGCTTGGATGGAGGCTGAGGGGCAGGATCAGCATGCTGTGCCTGCTCACAAGAGTAATAGCCCACGTCAGCGTTGACTGTCAAACGGGCGATGTCAAAAGTCTCAATGACGTTGCTGTCCCACTTCTTTCGGTACTCAATGTCGTGTAGGACATCGTAGAGCGTCTCGGCTGGCACATCACGGCATTCCATCCGGCACTGCAGATAGACATATGGGTCATCTTAGTCACACAGGGCTCAGAGCTCTGGCCAAGGGGCCAGAGTGCAGAAAAGCCACGGGCGGAAAACAAGGTGGGGCAGGAGCCTCTGAAACCAGCATGGGCTCACTTCTCATCACAAGCCTGGCTCAGCAGCCCCAGAAGCTGTGCCAACTCAGTCAGCTCCTGTAGCCAGACACCACAGCCCTCGTTTCAGCCCAGTTTCCTCCTCCAGGAAGCCTTCCCAGCCAGACCTTCTAGCCATGCACTGACCCTCGGTGTCTGGGCCCTCCCAACCTGTGAGAAACTTGCAGGGGCTCACAGTTGATTCATCATGGAGCCTGGGGTGGAAGGGCAAGTTGCATGAAATGAAAGCAGAAATGAAAAATATCTATTTGGATGACTTCTTTCTTCCCGTGGTACTCATCATCTGGCCACATGACCTGTCCTGTTTGTGCTTTGCGTGCGCTCTCTCTCTCTCCCTGTTGAGACAGGGTCTCACTATGCAGTTCAGGCTGCCTTAAACCCATGATGTAGTCCCAACTTCCAGGGGTCCTCCGACCTTAGCCTCCCAAGTGTTGGGATTACAACCATGTGCTGCCACGCCCAGCTTTTCATTCAACAAATAGTTTACAGTTTATTAGCCTTGCCCTCAAAGAGCTTTCAATCTGGGAGAAAAGCAGATAAGCATAACTTGTCTTATTTAACCCTCCTAACAGCTCTGCCAGATGAGAAATCCAAGGAGGAACTTGAAGCGCAAAGAGGTTAAGTAACTTGCCCAGGGTCAAATTGGTAAGTAGCAGGGCTGGGATTTAACACAGCTCACATGTCTGGAAAGCAAGTTAAAACAGAACCAGATTTTCCCAGATTGGTGGTCAGGAAGATGAAACACTGTGATTTTTGTTCTGTGATTTTTTTTTTTTTAACCCAAGAACCCAACCCCCAAGATCAAGTTCCCTTAGCAAACAGATGAGTTTTCTTGCGTAGTCTAAAAAGGTCTCCTAGAACTGGCACTCAAGTGTGGGGAACCTACACATACTATTTTCTACTCACAAGAAGATACATTCAACCGTACAAGGGAGGGACTACACTGCTTCCCCCTCATCCTAGGCTTGGGCTTGGTAACACAGTTGGTGTCAAACTGCCACAGGACAGCCACAACATACCTGCTGGGTATTCTACACACCAAAAAAACTCAGCAAGCATTGAACATCACTTTATATTACAGAAAACAGAGAAGAGAAGAACAAGCCAAGGGACACCAGGAGAATACAGCCGGACGAAGTCACATAGTAAGACATTCTGCAGGGCTACAGGCCCAGTCCCTTCTATAGGTCAGTTCCACATCGGCAAATATAGAGGAACTGGGCTAGAGGGAGACATAGGACACAACAACTACATGAAAAGTATGACCCTGGGTTGCATATTGATTCGGACATACCAGCTATAATGGATATGTTAGGAACAACCTGGAGAAATGTGAAAGTGGTCTGAGTACTAAGTGCATTAAAAATTTACAGAAACATGTTGGGCATGATAGTGCACACTTGTAATCCCGGCTACTTAGGAGAATGAGGCAGTAGCATTATGAATTCAAGGTCAGCCTGGGAAACAGCAAGAATCTGTCTCAAAATAAAATGAACAAGGGCAAAGGAGCTCAGTGTTCCCTGGGCTCAGTCCCCAGTGCCCCCACCCACACACACACGTGCACGCATACACACACACACATGACTAGACTCAATCATTTAACTAGGCACCCCAGTTTTGGCCATGCCTTCATCCAAGGTAAGTAGGGGATGAATCTGAGACCTATCTTTGAGAGGCTTCGGGCTGAAGAAGGAGTGCCATTCGGAAATGTAGAGGTACCCTTAAGAGTGCTCAGTGTGGCTCAGAGAAAATCAACTCCTTGGAGCAGATGGGGGGATCAGACTGCATGGAGAGCCTTAGTCAGGAGGGAGGTGTCTGTCAAATGGTTTTGGCAGAGAGAACAGGCAGGGGTAAGGCCCAGAGGCAGGCTCAAGTACAGACAGCATGTGTGGCAGCTGAAGAATTCCATGTGGCTTTTATTTCTATGCATGGTTTGGTATAGCCTAATACTCAAAGGTCCCTGGTTCCAAGTCTTCTTGGAACAAAGTGGGTGATTCCACGGCTGGGTCAGAGGAAGTGTAAGATGATCCTAAAACATGTTATTGTGCCAGAAAGTAAGGAAGTACTCAAAGAATGATAGAGACCTTATCCAACAGACATAAGAGCTAGCCTGAAGGCCTCTGACTGGAACAGTGACCAGCTCACCAGAGTTTTCTCAGAACTCTCCCAGCTTTACCACTGAAAGTCTCAAGTCCTGGTAAATTCCTCAGTCCCAGACAAACGAGGACAACTGGTCACTTTATGTTGGGTTAAACCTGGGACACACTGTGTTAAAACAAAAATAGTAACAGTTATATCCCACCAAATAAAATAAGAAACTAAAATATATATAGGTATGAATAAATGAAATATTTGATGAGGAATAGAGTGTATTTACATACTTTCAAAGTACCTTCCTATCAAATAATTACACAAGAAAAATGAGTTACTTCATAGTAAAAAATGCTGGCAGCTACCACGTCAATCAACTGATCAAAGTGAACATCATTAGTAACAGAACAAGCTACAACCAGGTGTTGCCAGACAGGCTGAAATGAAAAGAATACCGGCATCTTTTATGTGATATCTCCACCAAGACTGTATAGCATTTAATCATAAAGAAATATCAGATAAAACCAAAATTAGACATTTTACAGAAGTACTGGCCTATAAATGTCATGATTGTAAAAGTCAAAGAAAGACTTGAGAAGAACATACACGGAAGGAGATCACTGAGACATGCTTGAGGGCACGGATAGAGGAATGAACAAAGTGATAGAACGGATGCCATGGTAAGAAAGGGGTTTGAAGACAGCAGAGGCCAGATGGGCATCACCCATTAGCATCCAAATGCCCAACTCCTGAGCAGCTACCCAAAGGCCTGGGGCCAGCATTCAGCATGTGCTCACCCTTTGCCCCAAACTCGGTTTTACTCTTATGCTGCAAAACAGAACAACTGATGCTCAAGCGACTGAGAAACTTGCCCAGATCACACAGCAAGAAAGCAGCAGTGCAGGGATTCAAAATCAGTCTTCCAGTACTGTTAACCATCAAAGAGCACTTGGGGCAGCTTCTGAGGAAACCCGAACTTCTGTCAATCCAAGTTTCAGGGGTGTATTGGCTTTGCCAATCCTTAAACATATGATTCTGGACAGTGAGCCTGAAGTCCCTCCTCTGGGGCAGCAGCAGGTAGTAGGTGGGGCATGCAGGGCAGCAAAACAAAGAGACCCACTGGGTATAAACACTGCCTAACACTTCATCTTGAAGACAAACAGCCGAACTTCAAAGATTTCCCCTGGTTGGTGGTAGACTTGTGGAGGAGGGCCCTTCCCTGGACCCTGCTGGGAAGATGAGAATCCTGGTTGAGCTGAGTTGGCACAAAGAAACTGAGGCAGCCCAGGTAACCAGGCCAGGTGACGGCTGGCAGGAATCCCTGTCCCGGATAGTGGGCCTGGCCACGGTCCAGGGCCTTTCCATAACCCCCAGGAGGCAGCACCCCAAGGGGAAGAAATTACAGCCGGCTTTCTTCCTGTGCTCACAGGGTTGGCCACACCCCAGGAGGTGTAATTCTACGAGGCTGTGGGAGGGACAAATGGCAGAGTAGGGCTGAGTCACAGCAGAGGGGGCGGGCCATAGCGGAACCCACATCCTTAGGGCCCTGGACCAGTCAGTTCACTGGTATAACCCCAGGAGCTCTCCTGGAAACCGGAACTGAAGGGAGGTTGCTCCGCCCACCAGCCATCGGGAGCTGCAAAGCCTTTAAAGCCTGGTTGCTGTGGAACCTGAAACAGACATTTTCCTGCTAAGCAAAAAGAGTCCCTTGGGAAACAAGTGTCAGCACAGCAACTGTAAGCTGTATCTTCACTATTCCATTCTATCAAGTCCCACGACATGCCCTGTAGAGATCCCAGGGAGTTCATGGGGTTGTGCATCACCCCGGGCACTCCCCACCCAATAAGCTACTTACAGAAGGGACTGGATAAGAAGACCCTGGGGGAGACTCAGGCAGCTTCTGAGGCTGGCAGTTCTACAGTCCAATCACAGCTCTTGCTCTAGGGCACAGCATTTAACTCCAGACAAGTCTTAACTTTCTTAGTACGAAAAGAGACAATAACAGTACTGACCACCGGAGGATGCTGTGATTGAATGAGATATGTATGGAATATGCCTGCCACAGAATGAATGCTCAAAACACAGCTGCTACAAGTCTGGTGTGTTGGTGTGTATCTGCAATCCCAGCACTTGGGAGGCTGAAGCAGCAGGATGACTGAGTTTGAGGTCAGCCTGAACTTTGAAGGGCACAGTGAGAAAGACAGACAGACAGACAGACAGACAGAAAGAAAGAAAGAAAGAAGAAAGAGGAAAGGAAAAGAAAAAGAAACTACTGTTATTCAGTAGGCTTCCGTAATTAGCTAGGCACCTTTTACCACAAAGGACTAGGTCAGACTTGCAAATAACTTATATTATGTGTTCAAGGCCACTTGCCTTGCTCATCCCAGTCCTTGCCCTTCCACCCATCCATTCACTTTTCCAAGCCTGCTGCAGCCAGGACTATACCCCATCTGAGAACCAAATGGAGGGGAGCCAGACCTGGACCCCACCAAAGAGGTGCCACCAAGTGAGGAGTAAAAGAGGCTGGGACACAAGCCTGCAATAAGGACAAGCAGGGTGGGGAGTGGGAGACGTGCAGGAACTACCAGGGCAGTGCACTACCAAAAAGATAAGGAGCAGAGCCACTGAAAGGGCTTCAAAGGGTATTTCACACGCAAAGAGGCCTGGGGGCTTAGAGACATAAGCAGCAGGGTCCAACGCACAGGCTATGTCTCAGTCTACCCTCACCTCACTCCGCCCCTTTCCCTGAGTATCTCAGAGGGC